GGGGGGGGGGGGGGGGGGGGGGGGGGGGGAAGCAAGTTTGTGCCGGCCCCCATCATACAAACATCTGTAAAATTTCATGACTTTGAGGACCTATATCTTCGTCAGTTTTCAACAATCACTTTCAAAACTTGGCAATGTTACTCATTTTAAGGCGTTTTTTCCAGTGGTGCCAACTGCCGATATATTTTTCTTAACTTCTCCATGTCAAAAGTAGACAGAAAGAAAGTAAGGTGAAATAGTCTATCCTGGATTGTAAGAGGTACCCTTTTGGGAAGCACCTCCCCGTATAGGTTAATATGGGGAGCCCCCCCTCCCCACATCACCCCGCCTTCAAGGTATAAGATATGGCAGTTGAAAAATAAACACACTGTCTAACACCAGACACGTTAAAGCTTGTTTAGTCGGAGCTTAATGGAGCCGCTACTTTTCTGACATAACATAGCCAACTTGGACTGAAGGCAAAGTATTTTTGGCGCTCTAAAGAGGAAAGGCATCGGGTACCGTTAGAAACACAAAGCCGTGACAGCATGCATAAAACTGTGTTGCTTTAAACAATTTATGTTCTGCCATTTATTTTTGGAATGTTCATCTTTTGACCCTGTTTCAGTACTCTGAAGCGAGCATAAACAGAGAATAAGAAGATGCAAAAAAAATTGCCATAAAAGGAAAAAGAAACAAGCAAAAACAAACAAACAATATACCGGAACAGCTGAGGATTTACTTAAAATATTTGCTATAAAATAAATGAGCACGTAGCACTGATTTTAGAAAACGCTGTGTTCTCGTTCAACTCTCACCGCCATGGTTCAGCATTTCGCTGTTTTCCTGATTCTCTCTTTTTTTGGCGGCTCTCTGGAAACAACCACCTCACCTCGGCAACAAAACGCCACAGAGTTAAAAGACTTATGCCAGGTAAGAAATTCATAAAGATATATATAAAAAGGAGTACTGCCCCGTAGATTAGGTACACCCAGAAACCATTTTATTACTCTCACGTCTTTATGATCATTTGCTAAAAAGTACTCGTTAAAAGTGTATGGCATTTTATTTAAAAGTCCTCGCTTAATTCAGCATGATCTTTCGTCGAAAACCTGAAGCCTGTCCACTGTTAACTGTTATTTTTTTCTGATTCCATCCAAGTCCATTCGTGGCGAGATAACCCTTTAAATAGGATTATGTTGTCCAAGGTCCATTCCGTGCTTCGAAAACAAGGGAGACGGCTGGCGGGTACAGACTGTGGGCTGCGTTACCCAATTGTCTGGTTCAATTGGTGGAAAGCGTGCAGAAGTCTGCACTAAAAATCATTTTTCCAGATTGCTCTTGTGAGTCAGCACTCGTGCGCTGTGGCTTGCCTACACTTTTGTCGCGCTGTGATGAGGCTTGCAGGCGTTTTATATCTAACATCAAGGAGTCCGGGTTCCTTTCACACCTGCTACCGCAGCCCACGAATGTCGCTCATGGGTACAGGTTGAGCTCGGGTTTTTCTCGTTCTGAATTCCGCTTTGTCAGAACGGACCGCCTTAGTAATTTTGTTACCCACAGTTAACAATAGGATTTAACTGGTTTTGCCTTCTGTGCCATGTGTAATTATGTGTTCTGCGTATTCTTGACCTCCCTTGTAATTTAGTGTTATACACTACCTAAAGGGTTTAATAAACTGATTATTACTTTGTTCATTTTGGTGTGGAATCATTGTTTGCGAGGGGGCTACGGGCGTGTATGAACGTATTTATCGCTTCAATTCCAAATGAGAAGGAAAGAGAAATAATCATGCGAATTCTCTTTCGTTGCTGTTCTTAATCTAAGTAAAGATGACATGCATAATTTCTTAGAGACAAGGTCCTAAAACTGCTATGGATTTTAGAGGCCAAGTCTGAAACCGGGTGTAAAAAATGACGTGTTCTGGCCTGAAATAGGGTCAGGATTTGGGGAACCGGGCGGCACATCCCCACCAAGAATCCCCAGGAGTACATCCACCCCCCTCCCCCTCCGAGTCATTTCAGATCTCGTGTCGTCTACGTCTCTGCTAATAACAAGTCATCTTTACCTTCAGCGATCTATTCTGGGTTTCCCTGGTATTCCAGGATCAAATGGTATACCAGGAGTGCCTGGCGTCCCGGGGGCACACGGACCCCAAGGAAGGGAAGGTGTAAAAGGACAAATTGGTGATAAAGGATCGCAAGGAATGCCGGGTCCAAGAGGAGACAGAGGGCGCGAAGGACCCCCTGGGAAGAGAGGACCACGAGGAATAAAGGGAATGAAAGGTCAACAGGGACTTCTGGGAATGAAAGGAGAGCAAGGAGCTGTGGGAATGAGAGGAGAGCGAGGCATTGCGGGAATGAAAGGAGAGCGAGGCATTGCGGGAATGAAAGGAAGAAAAGGAGACAAAGGAGAGAAAGGAGAAAGCGCCAAAGCAAGTCAAGCAAGTGTAGTACCACAAACCAACTGGAAACAATGTGTGTGGAAATCACAGACCGGTACTGATAACGGGAAGATTAAGGTAATTAGAATAAGAATCATAACACACTCCTAAAAAAAATTTATTCCTTTCTAAATTAAAATATTAAAAAGACGAACGTCTTCTCTCCCACCCACCGTTTGCCAACACATTGCATAAATGACTGAGTTACATTACCTTCTACTTTGTTTCTTTTGGACGAGAAAAGGAAACCCATCATGCGTGATAAAATGATCCCTGGCCATATGGATAAGGACGACAAAAATTGAAGCTAATACAGAGCTTTTAAACATTAGACGTAATCTTGACTGGAGTTGTTAGTATCAATCATCACACACGGTTGCTCATCCTACTACAGTATGTTTGATTTGTTTGATTGTATTCCAGGACTGTGCGTTTAACAAACTGCAGTCTAATTCAGCGCTCAGAGTCTCATTCCAGGGAAACATGAGGGTCCTGGGTAGTTATAAGTGTAATCGCTGGTATTTCAAGTTCAATGGAAATGAATGCCGTGGACCAATGACTATTGAGGCTGTTGTTTTCAACCATTGGCCATCTGCTGGGGACCATTATCTAAATCATCATCGGTCATTTGAGGGGTACTGTGAGAACATTCCACAAGGCGCTGTTAGAGTGGAATTGTGGGTAGGACGTTGTAATAGTGGCCACACCTTGGGTGGTGCTTACACCGGGTGGTATTCAGTGTCCCGGATAATGATTGAAGAAGTATCTAGGCCCCAGTCCTAATAAGGGGAGTCCTTAACTTTAACGCTGTTTCAATTTCCTTAGAGTAGCATTCTACAAATACAGACTGTAAAGCGTAAGGTGCGAAAGTATTGTTTTTGGTTATTTTCTTTGTAGCCCTTTGTGGCTACTTCCGTCGTATTAGATGGTCAATCGTAAACTCTTATAACAGTATCATGATTTTGTATTATTATGTTGACATGTTAGTCCTGTGCAGCAGCTCTTTGTTTTGTCACGCAGCGCTTCTTTAGTTCCTTTGTCGGGAGGCACTTTTCGTGACGACACAATAATCGGCTGATCGAGCTTGTAGGGATTGGTCTCCCGGCCCATGCAGCCGTTTTGCCTTGTAACATACCNATGTTGACATGTTAGTCCTGTGCAGCAGCTCTTTGTTTTGTCACGCAGCGCTTCTTTAGTTCCTTTGTCGGGAGGCACTTTTCGTGACGACACAATAATCGGCTGATCGAGCTTGTAGGGATTGGTCTCCCGGCCCATGCAGCCGTTTTGCCTTGTAACATACCACTCCTTCTCGTTGCATGACGAGACAAAATGGCTGTGATTGAGAGTGACTGATTGGCAACGCGTTTTGTAGATGATATGTTTATGGATGCAAAATATGTCACTACAGCTTCAGGGGAACCAATTCACTCTTGGCTTAGCATTTACACTATCAGATTGTCGTTCATTTCCTGTAAAGATGTAGTCAAAGTAAAGGTCGTGATATAGTCTTTCATCTCAGCGAAAAACAAACACGCTGATGAAGAGGTAACTTTTGCATTTGAAATATTTTCGATTGAAAAATCTTTAATTAATTATATCCCGAAGTGAAAATGATTTTTAAAATTAAATCGTGCCTTAATTAAATCAAACAGCACGATTGCGTTTGTAGCCAAACCGCTTCGAGGGAAGACCATTATTAAAAACGTATTAAAATTCGAGGATTAAAATCGCACCTCGTAAAATTTATATCAATTAGCTAGGAAGATAAATATGATTATAGGATAACTTGATTATCTTTAGCCTGCGTGGAAGGCGTTCGAATGGGAAAGGAAAGGGAATTTAAGCGCGCGAGACCGCGCGCGAAGGAGAAGGAAGAAGAGGAAAGCGTTCCCCTTCCTCCTTTCTCGCGCTTCCTTAAGTGCTTCTCACGCACCTAAACCATTCCTTCCCTTCCCTTTCGAACGTCTGCCACAGTGGAAAAAGAGAAATATGTGTTTACTCGTAACACTGAGATTCTTGTCAACAAACCTTCCCATTACTTAGATATCATCTCCGTTATATTTCTTGCATGTGAGTGCTGTTTGCTTTTATGTGTGATTAAAGCTTTCAATAAAAGACAATCAGTCTAACAGTATGTACAATATTGTCCATTATTTTTCCTAACAAATAAGATCCAACTCATTATGTCTGCTCCTTAACAGAGATTTTCCCGTACAGTCTCTCAATATTGATTTCAGTATCCAATGCAGCTATTTGCAGACTTGTCTGTTCGATTACGTTTATAAATAAAGACGTACCCAGTTGTCAGGGCTTCTTAACCTAGATTTGGGAGGGGAGGACGTCACAATAATTTGGGTACCTAAATAACCAGTGCTGTATGCCCCGATAGGGGAAACCGTATGGGTATACCCGGTAGGAGATACCCATACAGCAAGTTAGTCTCACCAAGAACTTCCGTAAAGAGTACAGTTTTCTTTTATTTAGCGAGGCTTTTATTGCTTTGTACGTTTTCGTATACAGTGTACCATAAATTTCACGACTTTATCTTTTTTCTATGTTTTTGATGGTTTTGTAGAAAATACTTACATTTTTATCTTAGCCTAAGCACAATCGACCCCATAGGAGCTCCTCTGATTTTACATCTAGGTCGGAGGAAACCTAAGGGGGATGCCGATTCGATAAAGTTTGTGGTATAAAATAGCCGCCTTTGCCCAGTATATATAAAGAAGTGAGCTGAGCCTAGGCCCCGGAAGGGAGGGGGGGGGAGGATACTCAAAAAATTTTTATACGGGTCCTAAGGTCCAACCCCTTACCCTTTTATATACCATTTTTGACGAATAGGTAACCCCTGTCGTATACCTTCTATTGACAAATGTTTTCCCTTACATATACCTTGCTTAGAACTTTGAATTCCTTTTGACTTCTGTAAATGCACTGTCATTTGAATGGGAATCAATCACAAAAATAGAACGTTGTCTCGACTTTATAAAGCCATAAAATTCATCTGTTAGTCCTTTTAGACCCTTTAACAGACCCAAATGACAGACTACCCTACCCTTTCATATACTACAACGAGTAAAATCCCTACCCTATCATATGCCTGACGCCTGAAAAAGGTACCCCTTTCGGGCGGAGCCTCCCCGTATAGGCCATTATAGGGAGTACCTCCTCCGGGAGCCTAAGCATGCAACCAGGTGAGAATTGCATGCAAACCGCCTTTTACAATAACAAGAAGGCGTAACTATCAAAGAATTTCATTACTCTGTGGCCTGCCCCAAAACTATAGTTTAAAGATCTATAATAAGTAAATTGGACCGTTCTAAATGAACAGAGATAAAAGCCGTTTGCCTAACTCACGTGCTTGATGACGTCATCACCTTTCAGCCCGAGAGATAAGTCAAGCCGAAAAAAAACTGAATCGTCGGTCAAATTAAATTTTCTGCTAGCATTACCATTTGGTACCGCTATACTTTAAGACACCATTTCATTTTGTTTCGTAGTGAATAGGTGCACAACTATCTTTCAAAAAGGGGGCAAATAATGGTGTAGATAACCGCGGCGCAATAAGCGTCGAGGATAGCTAGCGCTATGCACTGACCCTAAAGGTAGATGGGTCTCTAACTGGGGGCCTTATAAGTGGCTAGTAATGAGCTTATGATCGGCCGTCACGGTATGTCAGTTTTAATAGCCAAGTTCCCTTAAAGTAATGAGAGACTGGGTTCAAGTATTATAAAAAGAGACGTCGTCTTTTGGGTGTTCGCATTTCACGACTTAGTTGAGTAGAAAATGGGAATGAAATGTATTAATTAGCAATTAATGAATGAGGTTGAGCGGGATATGAAGAATTAAGCAGATCGAGGAGGGTGTTATTCAAAGAGGCCGAAGGCCGAGGTGGATAACACCTTCCGAGATATGCTTAATTCTTCATATCCTACGAAAGCCGACTACGTTAATTGCTTTACTATTCATTCAAAATAATTCCTAGTTTAAAAACATAGCTAAAACATGCTTACCTGCATCGATGTTAAGTTCATCTTCGATAGTGTACGTTTAGGTTTGTCCAGCTCCCCAAATATTCTCCAAATAGCAGATGTCGCCCTCCGAGTTGTCTTCTTGCTGTTTTTGCTGTGTTTTTAGCCATTATTTCGCCTACTTCCAGCTGCAGTTCTTACTCTTGAAACGAGTGAAGTGTCCGCCAAAGAAAACAACTCAACCTCGTCCCCAGGTCTTCTAGGTTAACGGTGCATTAATCTGTAGAAGGCTGCCTTTTTGACGTCATTTCCTCTTTAAACACAAAATTCTTCCAAATTTTGTCATCAGTAACTGGTTATGGTGAATTATGCGTGTGCTTTTAGCCAGTCAGAATTGGGGAAATATTTTGAATGAATAATGAAAAGTTTTAGTCCACTCTCATTTATTTGTTTTGCTATTTTAAGGCTGGTTTACAGGCAGCGATTGTGCGCCCGATTTCCAAAGAAAATATATGGCGATAATAATAATAATAATGTTTATTTCTTATATTGCGCAGTCTAGCATGCGATAAAGATATGATCGAATGCGCATTACAACACTAAAATCTTGAAGTAATAAATGGCTAATCCAAATAATGATGATAATAATAATAATAATAATAATAATAATAATAATTTACAATTTTCGGAAAACAATAAAAGTAAAATATGAGGTAATAAAAGAACTAATAAAAAGCTAATTTAAACAGATGTGTCTTTAGTAAAACTTTAAAAATGTTCAATGATTGATATTGTCTAATTTCTAGAGAGAGTCGATTCCATACTTTGGGTGCAGCATTTTCAA